GAGCTGTTCAGCACAGTTTCCTGACCTAGTGGGGCTGGCTAGGGCTTAAGACAACATCAACAAGGCTGCAAACCAATCCCCAATCAGGAAATCCTATTTCGCCAAAATAGGATTGTTTCTTGGGGCTGGCCTATTTGAGCTGCTCAGCACAGGTTCCTTACCCAGTAGGCCTGGCTAGGGCCTGAGACGTCAAGAAGGCTGCTTGGCTTGGTGGAGTCCTGGTGCTGGACTTACCTCGCATATTTTTGTTTTGAAATTATTCTACCTCGTACCTCGCGAAGTGAGCTCGCAATAATTCGCTCAGCGTGGATCGAGACCTGGACTTTCCGAGAAGGATGGACAGCCAAAAACCAGCTTCTTTGGAGCATGCTTGAAGGGATTCACTTTTTGCTGCTTGTGGTACCTCACAGTACATCATCACTAGATTCAGGGACTTTAGGTAGCATCTGCTTGGGAACCCTGTCTTTGAGTCATATGACACCAGCTCCTGTGCCTAGGAACTTTCAGTCTTCCCAACACGCCCAGAGTCACCCGCCACCAAACCCGTCCCCCGTCCCCCCCAGTCTCCATCTCTCCGCACTTGGACGTCCTGGCTGCTCCACGTCCAAGCCGGCGGCGATGGAGGTGGAATGCGCCGCGCCCCAGTCCGACATCACGAAGCCTTCAAAGCCCAGAGACCGGAGCTCCCGGAGCCTCGGACAGACGGAGAGGTGATTGTGAAGAACCAAGTCACCCCAGGGACTGGGTTGGACTACAGGAAGTGTTTCCAGGGGAAGGAAGGGGAAGGAAGACCACATATATAAACGAACTTGTCAAAAGAGGTGACAAGTTCAGTGATCTTGGCGTGCCATTCTTTAGGAGTGAGGAGTTTTGCTTCTGATACGGTTCCCCCACAAAAAGGAGGCCCACGCCAGTTACTGGTAAATCACATTTGGTCAACATCACACGCATGGCTCTGATGCTGGTTCTCTAAGCATAGGTGCCTCTACGGGGTAGCCCAGGCACAAAACCATCATAGGCCCTAGGCTGAAAGGTCCGTAGGCCCAGGATAAAAGGAGCTACCAAAACACCAAGGTTCTTTTGGGGGAAGCCTTTTCCAGCCCGAACCTCCCACCCACTCCAGGTACGTCAGGCAGCGTGGTGGGGTTCTCGCAGCTGTAGACGTTGTTGATCTTGTTGTAACTGCACATCACAGAGGCCACACCAGCCTAAATGACATGCGCTAAGCACGGCCGGGAGCACTTGGACACGTCTATGTAGACATTGCATGAGTCTAGAGGTACATTTCATATCATTGCATTACATTTGCGGTGGACTTGAACTGAACGAACCGAATGGGCGCTAGCTATAGAGAGGGAGAGAGAGAGATGTCAGAAATTCATACTCTCCAAGCCCAAACTATCACAGGCAATCTAAACGTCCGAAGAAGTACCTATCCCCAAGCTGCTTTCTTCAGCTTTCGCAAATCTGACTCCCCCACCACCGAGAACGGCCGCTCCCGGGCCTCAATCGCCCCCTCGAAGGGCGGATAGTAGACTTCAAACCGTGTCCGCTCATCCGTCTCGGCGCTCACTGCTCCACGATTGGTCTCCTTGGTTCGGTCCGGACAGACGAAAATGCCCCCTTCTTACTGCATAGGGACACGATTTGTTGGTTCAACAAGTGTGTGGAGACTGATGACTGATGCGGACTGATGCGTTCCTATATTGCTTCACTGTGTCTCTGGGTCTCTCGAACGAGCATTTGGAGGTCAAGACCTCGTGCCGGGTCTCTCTTCGGTGAGTCCCGGCACGGTCCCAGGGAGTCACCCAGTAAGTCTTGACCTGAAAACGGGACAAAAATGGATTGACAAGAGCGGGATGTGTGATGATATGTGATGATGCATGTTTTCTAAGAAGCTTCTTCTTTACAAATTCCAACAATAGAGAGAATCTGAAGAGCCTCTTCATAGAATTGTTGACCTGCCCGAAAGGTGGACCTACCATGATCCAAACCATTCATCCACCGACCCCGCCCCCTCCTGGTTGTTGAGGATGAAATGCTTGGCGTTCGCCAAGACCTTCTGTGATTGAATGCCCTTCACCACCGGCTGCACCATCCGGTAGCCCAGGTAAGGGTCTTCGCCTGGCCCAAACGGTCGTTGCTTGCGCCGCAGGTTACATCAGATCTACAAGCACCCTGGTGGATCCCGATGTGTATCATTCACGGCTTTGCGAATGTCCGCTGGGCGCCGTGCACGGCTCAAGCAGTGCAGCGCGCACCCATGGATCCCAATGTATGAACGATGCAAGCATCAGGAGGATTAATATGATAGATAAATGATGTGATGTCCTGGCGCTTTCACCGGTTCTACTTTCAGCCAAGTTCAGCCAAGGCGCTTTTCACCATGTGGTTTCCTTTTCAGGTGCTTTTTTGGGCCACGATGTGTCTTCTTTGGTGGGTTTCTGAGTTCTTCAGCAAAGGTATGTTACAATGGTCTTGTCCCTCCAGGTTGACCTCATTGGTGCCTTCAACAGCTTACACGAAAATGCTCAAAAGGGATTTGAAAAGCAACTTAGAACATTAAAAATACATTGACCAACCTCTCCGAATAAAATCTCGATTCCAATGGTGAGTTCTCGAAAACAGCCAATCGATTATACATATCCCTTCTCCACGAATTCGATTTGGCCGAGGAGTTCCCACCTGAGAGATACTCGAAGTTCCGACCGTTCACAGGCACCCTGGCCACATTGAGCCCAGGTCCCAGTTGGATGTTCCTCGGATCGCACGAGTCTTTTTGGAGGACGGAGCCCGACGTCCATTGACCTAAGGAGTCTACAGTACCTCCATATATTTTAAGATCAGACCTTGGGTAATGACCAAGACAACTCATGATCGTTGCAGAGCGCTTTTTCTGCTACGAAACCATCACCCCCAATCGAGCTGATGCTGACTATACTGGTTGATCCCTCAGAACAGTTCTCTCGGCTAGAAAGGGCAAAAACGACACCTCTCGGAACCCACACATTCATTCCAAACACAAACTCCACCCCTCTTTCACTGGGAGGAAAAGAAAACAAAAACAGAGATCAGCAGTCACTGCATGGTCTCTGACTTCTTTAATGTTTAGCCAACCCAGACGCCCCCTCCGCCCCTCAAACCACTTGAAGAAGGTAATAACTTAATAACATACAAAAATGGTGTTCAAATGTTTCATGACAAGAAAAGAAAAAGAAAAGAACCACGCGCTCCGAAGCGTTCCAAACCGTGGGCTGCGTCTCGATCCCTTGTCGTAGAACTCCTTGCCCATGCCTCGACCCCACTCCAGGGCCGCCGCTTCATCCCAACTCGCCGCCAGGGTGATGCCCGCCGGCCAGGCCGTGGAGGTGCCCTTCTGAGCATCCGCCGTTCGAAAGCCCTGCGGGCTTTCGGGCTTAGACCGGAGGACCCCAAAACAGGAGCTCGGGCCGCTCGGGGGTACACTCTGAAGACAAAGTACTTTGAGTGGGTTGTAAAAGGTTGGGACTTTGTTCACAGAAATGAACATGTAGGGACTTGTGGGTGGTCTATATAGCCGGTTAGAAGAAAACCTGTCCGAAGATCATCTTCACTTCCGCGCGACTGACGTCTTTGATCACTGAGTCGATTCGTCGATCGTGGCGGGATTCCACGAAACGGCCCCTGGATTAGAAAAAACCATTATATACAACCAGATATCCCTTTCCATGGGTTGTTGTGAAAGTTCTGTGAGACGTTTACAAGTAATTACATTCTCAATCCTTCTTATCTGATGCACGAACACCAATGATCCCTATCGACCCGTCCTGTCGCCCATCCGAAAGCGGAGACGATCCGCGCCTGAGGGCCGTCGTTCATGTTGATGGGAGGGATGCCCAAGCGTTCGATGGGCGCCACATTCCCCACATAGGCACACCGAGGGCTCACACTGCATTGCGCACTTCCGCCTCAAACAACGGAAAACAGGTCTCCTACGTTATCCATCCACGTAGTCACACTATAGGTAGCCTTTGAACCAAGAGATGATATACAGTATGATGATAATTGATGATACATGTTCCTCTGGTTCATCAGTGCTTCTGAACTTAGACCTGGATCATGATAACTGATCATCCAGTGATCACATCTAGCCTCTCCAAACAGAAAACACTCCGTTGGCAGACCTTCAAGGCTTCAAGGATCTCTATTGACCTACCAGTTGGCTCTTCAGGAGTCTATATCCAATCCAATGTGTAGCTCAACCTCTGCATCCCGATGCCGAGCCGCCCGCGGGGCCGTGGAGCATGCTGAGCTTCTCGGCCACGGTCATCCGCGCCACCAGGCGCCGCGCGCGCTCCGCGGGGCCAAGCGCCGGAGCGCCGGACGCACCGGGAACGGCGCCGTGCGCGGAGCAAGGCGCTACCGCGCAGAGCAGCCAAATGGAAGCCATGGAAAGCGGCATGGCGGGAAGCGAAAAAGATGTAGAGAAAGAGTGTATCTGTCTGAGTCTGGATGTTCAGTTCTTTGCAACCCAGAATACTATGCCAGTAGATCACTTCAGGTGGATGATCAGTTGCTGGCAATCTCGATGAACTCCTATGTGGCAGCCGCCACTTGCAGTCCTCACGCTTTGACTTGATCTGAACACCTCTAGGTTCGGTTTGTATCGCATGTTGCTGTTTTTGGCCATGATGGTCCGGTGGCCCGGTGGTTATATGGAGTGATTATATTACCTATATTAGCCCATAATGTTACCGTAAAATGGGGGAATCGACCACTGACCACTGATGCCCAGAAGTCTCTTCCTCAGCATGATCTTTAAAGAAACCTATAAGCCTTGAGTAAGATCTGAAATGCAATGAACATGGCGATTGCAAATCTTCATGTAACGCACAGTGAGCAGTCAAGAATCGAAGCACTTATATACATATATAACTAAGATTACCCAGATGGAAAGTAGTCTTAGATATCCAATGGATAGCAGTTGGATAGCAACTACCTGGTAGCTTTGCAGGAGTAGTTATGGTCATTGGATCGTCTCTGCAGGCTGTAAGCCAAACTGGGCCACACTTTTTCGTTGTCACCTTGCTGTCTTTGACGCTTTGAGGTGGCGTCCCTCTTGGACAAGCTGCACAACCAGCCCCGTTTTTAGGGCCATCCCAACAGACTCTGGGACAAGCTCATGAGCACTGCTGGTGTAGAACCCTTCAGGTGCAAATCACTTTAATTGGTTCCAGCCTCCGAATCCGCTGCCACCAGAGTTGCCTGAAAGGCCGCAACGACCACGTTGCTCTCATCACTTTCAGTCCCTTCAAGGTATTGCCAGTGGATGCCAGGGTACTGGCGATGCAACTGGTTGAAGGTTGAATTAGGCATATTAGTGGGTCCCTTGCACCGGCTCAGTGGCACAGTTGCAGCGTGGTAGGCGCTGAAAGCGCAAGGGATGGAACAGAAGCCGAAAGCCGCAGAGATCACAAACAACCGAAAATTCATGACACTATCCAGTACGGTTCCAAGAGCACCGAAGACCATGAAGGGAATAGCAGCTGCCAGAAAGACCAGAAAAAGGACAAGGCCTCGGATCTCATCAGCTTGACAATGTTTTGACAGCTGACATCCGTAAACCCTCGTCAGGAAACGAGTTTTCATTGAAAAATATTGAAAAACTCTCAAATAATGCGATATATACAGTATATATATATATATATATGCTGCATGTGCATATAAGCGAAAACAAATCCAGCCTCGGATCAGTGCAAACCTCCTTGCTTTGGCTGCTCGCTGCACCAGCTGATCCAACTCGCCTTTCACCTGCACACGCGGGGTTCACTCGAGAATGACCTGTTCACTCAAGAATGACCTTTCTCCGCAATGATGGAAACATGAAACCCAAGATTGCCTTGGACATCGCAAGCATGAGAACAAAATCCGATCTCCAGCATCGCATGCTGCTAAATTGGAATTTATGAATGAGAAAGACAATGAACAACATAAATAATCGTCCAAACCACAACGGTCGCTCTAAGATTCATGACAGGCACGAGCATGGCTCGCTACGCTGGTCAATACAACGTACTCTTGATTAGTACCCCCCCTGCATTTGGACGGTCAACCTCTTCATAGGGGGTTGAAGTATGAGTCTAACAGAGTCCAATGGAGTCTACGAGTTGCTTCCCATGACCAAACACAACTCCCCAACGGCCGGCCACCTGCTGGTAGTCTTCTTGGCTGAGATGGCCCTGCAGTTCCTCTGGCACCTCCTCGGGCACATGTGGTCGTTGCCAAAGGCCCTGCTTCAAGATGGGCACGAGCACCGACATGGTCCAGAAGTTCCAATGGCTGCAGAAACCCTGGAGTTCAATGGATTTAGTTATTATTGACTTTCAATTGAATTTCATTGATACAAGTCAAGTTAAGATGTTGACATCCAGTATTCGTCTGTATCATCCTATGATGTAGTCAAAACAAAAACCGCAGGAGTCCCCGTTGTGATTTCTGACGTTGGGGACAAGTCCTGCCACGACATCACCGTCTCTGTGGGCCACGACGACTCAGCGCATTCCCCGGACTGGATTCTTTGGAGGTGACCTTCCCTAGTTCGAACCTGCTCAAAAGACCTTGGGAGATGTATGACGTACATATATATGTTATATATATTTTATGTTATCTCTATGTATATATATATGTGTGTGTACTCCTCCCTTCTTTGATTTATGTGATCTTACAAATATGATTCATTGTGACTCTAGATGTTCAGTGCATGAGACAAAAAGGAACGCTTCCCTTCATCACACTTACAATCTTACTTACTGTTGCTTAGGATGCAACCAAGGTTGTTTTGTGTGTGTGAGGTCTGAGCATAAACTGCTTCTGGTTAACAGATCCCACACAATCTGGAACCCAAACCAGGATTGGCCACTGCTCTTTTGGTCGGGAAATTGGCAAGATCACGCAAGATCTTCTCTCATGTTTGGATGCTTCTCTTCGGTAGAACTTTTGTTTGGTGGCTTCCTTCAGACTCTTGACTTCCAAGAGTTGGAGAGGCTTCCAAGCCGTGAAATAAAGTTTGAACATGAAATCACTGTGCGTCGATGAAAAATGCTCATCGCTCACAACAACTATCCCTACAGGAGGAACATGCTTATGGGTACCTAACTCTGCTTTCCATCACAGAGTGGAGCCTTCATTCCGATGCAGACGTTCCGGGAAAATCTTGCTCTGCCCGCGGCGCGGGCGCGACCTGACAGATCCGCGTTCATCGTTCTTCATGAGTTTGTCTTACCAACCTTGCAGGCCCTCCGAATTTGATGTGTGAAAAAGAAGATTTGAAATCAACGGAGTTCTCTCCGAAGTGGAGGGAAACTGGTTTTCTCTCAAGAGGTCTTCGACGTGCAAAATTAGGAAATGATGTCAACCTGTAAACATGTCACAATGCAAAACCAAATCTGAAGACTTTGAGTTTGATACCATTTGACCATATTGGAGGCTGATATTAGGCGGATGTTTATATTAAACTCACAGGAAAATTCACCAAGATACACTGGCCAGATGAAAGTTGCGCTTGTTGATGTTGAAACTCATGACAACCCTATCCCCCTAGAATCCTACACCATGAGACAAGGGAAGGTGTGGGCGGTCATTTGTTACCCCGGAAAGCTTTTACTTTTATATATTTAAAACGGTGTGATAATTGACAGTCCCACACCTGCCACGAAAATTAGACTTGTTAATTCGATCCTCCTCTGACCTCAGAGTGTTTTGTAAGAAGGCTAACAAGCGTAAACTGTTGTCTGCCTGAAGTATACCAAGATCATGTTCGACGTATTTCGATATCATTCGACCAATAGGTCAACAGCTTTAGCAATGACACATTGCTTGTCACACCCAAAGAGATGATTCCTTTGGCCTCTGGTGAAGAATCTGATTAATCTTGCATCCAACCTGCGTGTTTTGGCGCCTAAACGCGCACGGTTTGCATCGATATGAATCGCGATCTCCACACCTCTGCAGGGTTTGCGGGCCATGTCCATACTCACCTCTGCCGACGAACGGCCATTCGTAGCGTCCGTGATCGGTCCGTTTTCCTCCTTCCAAAGCCTTCCAAAGCGGACAGCACCGAGGACGACGGCGCCATCCGGTCCCGTCCGGCCGGACCGCCTGGCCACAGTCCCTGCGCACGAAGCGTCCCGTGGTCCACTCGGCAGCGAGGCTTCCTGGAGAGCATCGCATGGCATCGGTTGCGAACAGGTGGAGCAAAGCCTGTCACAGCCTGTCACAGCCTGTGAAGCCGAACAGCAGAATGAACAGATTCACTCTAGATGATCGTGTTTGCATGTTAACGTTCAAGTGTTAGCATGGCTTCAGACAACTATCAGCAACAGCGGAAGCCCAAGGCTATTGTCCTTGGCTAGCATCATCATTTCTGGCCATCCTTGGTTCTGAATCCCCGCTGACTGAGATTTCCCATCGCTTGATGCGATGTTCTGGAGAATCTGTGTAGGTAGCCCCGAGTTTGCACTTCGCCTATTGGCCTGTAGACTCATTACATCACATCGGACCGTATCAGTATCTCATCGGACCGTCTGGCGTTCCGTCTGGGCGTTCCGTCTGCGATCGGACCTTTCGGCAGCACACAAGAGGTGGAGAAGATGCAAACATGCGGACAGACCCGTTGATTGTTTGACTATAGGTTGTATGTTTTGACTATTGTTGGATTATTGACATACAACCTCTAAACAAAATCAGAGAAGGTCATATCAAGGGTTTTCTCACCTAATTATGTGCTATTTGATGCTATTTGCATGCGGAATATCGTGTCCGCGTGGTGCAGCCAACCACTGAAGCAGTGAATTGTAATGGATGAACTTAAGTGTGAGGATCTCTTCCATCAGTGTCAGCATGCAGCCGGCAGCTGTCTCGAGAAAAGCACAAATCTACACAGTCCTGCCAGAGTCGGACTCAACACTGCTACACAGCTACTTTGGGATCCCCGCAGCTTTCAGTTCGATGCAAAAGCCTAGTTGACTCGCCAGCTGCTCAAGCGAGACAATCCAACGTTGTTCGATGCAGCCAAACGAAACACTGAACACCAAAAGTGAAAGTGACTGACAGCTCGATCACCTCATTCTGACATGAGTCTCTACCACAAGCCACAAGCCATGGCATCCATCAACTACTGTTTCTTGTGCCTTGGGTACGAGGACGAAAGCCTGCGCGCGACATGAAACCGGCAAAGGTGACGGTGCACAAGGGGCGCAGGGGCGGGAGTGGAAGAACAGAACAGACCCTACCAAGGAGGAAAATGTCCACTGGTCGTTGATCCTCATTTCAGAATTCCAGAAACTGCTAGGCGAAGGCTCAAAACAGTCCACATCATTCTAAGATTCTAAATCCATCCTCACACGCAAGTTTACTTCTTGCCACTATGAATCGATGTCCCGATATCGACCTTTTTTTCACATGACCATTGCGCATGCTGCTGCGGCCTTTGTTGAAGGTATCCAGAACATTCTCCGGCTGTGCCTCAAGAGAATGTCTCTCGGACTTCCTCCTCTCGTCCAAGATAGGGACGAGAACGGAAGGTTCTGTCCCGAATTCAGTCCAACAACTCAAGGTCTCTCCCATCAGTGACTGCAACGTCTCTAACAAACTCAATGGAAAGGAAGAAAAACCAGGTGTGGGATGATTCAACAACACCTTAACATGTCTAGTACGTGGATCAACATGAATTTAAACAACTCTAGGGTGAGTAAGATCCCACCACTCCAAACCCAACGTGACTCCTTCGGTTCGGCCCGCGGACCGAGCTCGGTCGACGTGACTCCTCGAGCTCGATGGCCCCGCGGAACTCCTGGAAGACTCAGCGGATTTGGATCGAGGAATCCGAGCTTCCAAATGTAGTTCAACAAATGCTGACTGGTGCTTAGTAGGGAATGAGGGAATGGATCCAAAGGAATCTCTATTGGGACTCATTCCCTCATTCCCTACTAAGCACCAGTCAGAATGTAGAAGCTGCAGCTGAACTGGGAGCTGCTGAGATACCCATGCAGCCACACGGTGAATCTGTGGGATGTTGAGGGACGACCCGGTCTAGCCGGTCGATGCAAACGATTGGCCCTATTCCAATTCCATGCTATTCGCTATTTCTATCAACTGCGCCACGGGGTGAAGGATACCCCAAACCGGCACTCAAATCCTTTTGTCTGTTGGCTCGTGTGATGCCGCCGGCACTCGAAGAAAGAGCCACCGGCGCCACGGTGGTTTTGATGCGCTGCAACCAGCCAATCGAAGAACTCTCCGTGGCTCAACAAAGCGGGGTAGCAGCAGCATTTCATGGTGGCAGAACGATGTTGACATTGCGGCAGAAGGCCCGACATGCACCAGTTGACCGTTGTCATGGGTGCTTGCTGCAGCAAGATTGCAAATATATCAATACTAACTATACTACTTACTATATCTGAATACTAGTAAATATATTAATACTAACTGTACTACTTACTATATCTGAATACTAGTATAGAGTATAGAGTTACTACTATACTATACTACTTGCATGTTTTACAAGCTCTAGAATCTAGAAATTTCTAGAATCTAGATCCATCAACTGTCCGAGCTTCCGCCGCCCTCACAGGCTAGCGCTCGGCCTCCAACAACGAAATCGCCCAATAAACAGGAACTCTGCGAGGTACTGTCTGTGCGGAGCCGCTCAGCCACCCTGAAGCAGCCCTGCCATTGCTTTCTGAATCCTCCACTTCTGCTGCCCACAATGGGTTCTAAGGAGACACCCTTGATCAACCCAGCCGAATCCGGTCATACCCTCAACTGGGGTGTGGGATTCCCAAACTTCGTCCCCAAGCCACATGGGACTGGACTGGTGAGTATTACAGGTCCGGTGTGAGTCTTTGCCCCCATGTCCATTCATGTCCATCTCCAAGCCCAAGCAATCCAATCCGATGTCGCTGATCTTCATTCCCCCAAAACACACCAAAACACACCAAAAGCCAATGACCACAACCCGTGTGAAACCTTCAGAAGCGGGCCGTCCTGGTTGAGACCTTCGAATTGGACAGGCCTGGAGACCCAACCTGGCGGTCGAAACGAGCCGTCCGTCGGGCGGTCGAAGAGGTCTCTGCACAGCGATTCATCATATGTCACATACCTCCAGGACCCTCTAAGGGGTGCCCAATGGAAGCCTATAGGTAGTGTGGGGTAGTCCATTGGACACCCCTTGGAGGGTCCAGGTATGTCACATACGTCTCATGTCTTGTGTCTCCGACGTGAACTGCTGCTGGAGATGAATCAATCCAGGCTACTAGATGCTACTAGTAATTACTGCATGTACTGCTATCAGTCTTATAGTAACCCTAGGGCTCCAAGTACCTCCTCAGAAGGTATTTGGACCCTCTAAACCCACCCTAAACACCTTCTTACTGTAGAAGGTACTTGGAGCCCTAGGGTAATGAATCCTCATCACCATGGCTTGAACTTCACCTCGTCACGGGTCGCCCATTTCAGCCCACCAGGGCCGCCGGACGATATTTGCCGGTCTCGGACATCACCACATCTGTCCCAGTCTCACCTGTGTATCGTGAAACGACACATGCAAACATGTTATCCAAGCAAAGAAGGACAAGAACGAAGTAAACATACCTCATGCAATATTGCAACACTGAGTCCATGAACCATCAGCTGTGCTCGCCTTCAGACGCCTTTCTGAGAGTGATTCGCGAGCGGATTCGCGCTCGCCTTCGGGATGCAAACTTTGTCGCACTTCCACTGCAGCGGCCCACATGCACCAGGACCTGCACGTCGCAGGTCCGCTGGGTAGAAGTGCTTTTCCCACCATGCAGCTGGTAGAAGTGCAGTGCAAAAAAACAACATTGCAACATCAAGTTGAGAAAAAGCCTCCATAAAATCCTTTTGGAGCGTGGCCGGCAATTGCCTAGAGTTTGATTAGATAAAACAAATTGCCCGTTAGAGCCCAAGCAGTCGAGTGACTCATTTTCAAGCTTTGAACATGCGATTGAAACGTCAAACGTCCGAGATTCTCAATGAAATTTCTGCGACCGCCAGGCATTGCTGTTGCTGGTCAAGTCGCCCATTCCTGTGCGATCTGTTTGCACTTCGCTTAGGCATCCAGCCCTTTCAAAAGGACCTTCCGTCCCAGCGACGAGTTTGATGCTTCTGCTGGCGGCATCCGGAAGACAACTACCAGTGCGCTCAGATTGTCAGTACTCTTCAACTTCTGGGCTTGCTTCAGTAGCGACTCAGCCGCAGCTTGCGGGGATCGTGTTCCTGAGCTTTCAACTGATGAAAAAAAATGGATCACGACAACTCAGGAGAAGCGAAAACAAAGGATGTCATTCAATTCAATCAATCATTGAGGGACGGAAACGATGAAATCAGCCAAATGAAACACGTGCTCTGCAAAAAAACAAGGTTCTCCGCAACTGTCGTCTGATCGACTGGACAGCGTCCAAGTTTGTCATGCTCTCAAAGACGCCGTCAGAGGCAAGCAGGATGAACTCCGTGTCGGCATCTACAGAGAAGACGGTCACGTCTGGTTCTGATAATAGTCCTGGACATTTCGTCCATGTTGAGCGTGTGAAATCTCCCAAGGCGCGGCTCACTGCGAGGCCACCCTTCAGGTAGCCATCACATGTCGTTTGGATCCCTTCCATGTTCAGGCGTTCTTTTTCAAATGGCTCACATGGCCTGTGATCCTTCGTCATCACTGTCAAGGATCCTCCTTTGTAGGCCAAGGCTCGGCAGTCTCCGAGGTTGGCCACAGCGAGCTCGTGTTCATCTCGCACAGCGATGCAGGCACATACGCCCGAGGACAAGAGATAGTCCGGGACGTCTGCTTCATCTTGCTTCAAATGGCCCAACAACGCTGCATCAGCCTTTTGAAAGGCTTCTTTCATTCTAAGGCCCATATCTGGCCCCTTTTCCTTTGCCAAGAGCTTTGGGAGTGTTTCTTTCACATAGGTCACGGCTTCAGCTCCGCCGTGGCCGTCGTAGACTGCGAAAAAGTTGTCTTGCACGTCAATGGCATCTTCCATGGCTCCGCGGCCATTTTGCATGACGCACCAGCCATGCTGGTCGTCTCCTCCACTTGCATCAGAAGGTAAAGGTTCGACCTCCTTTCCTCGTCCGAGGCACGGGCACACCGCTCCCATGGCTCAGCAAAAAGGGCGTTAAGATCCTCGTTGGGACCTGAGGGCCCCTTTCCGTTTGATCCGACCTTACGACAGCAACCTCCTTCTGAACCACATGCTTCTTTGGATCTTGCTTGACTGCTTCACCTCAGCTGACCGTGTCGGTGTCTGGGTCCTCGCACCTTGGCTGCTGTCGGAGACCCACAGACCGGGACACGTTCACCTCACCGGCGCGGACATCGGAAGATGCAAACAGCATGGAAAGATTGGTCACATCAGTCCCATCCCTTGAGAAGAGCTTGCAGTACGCCCAAAGATCACCAAATGAAAACCAAACAGCATCGGACTCAGCTTCCAAGCCTCTTTGCTGCTTTTCCTCTTCGGCTGAGCTTCAGCCTCGGCAGCTCCTCTCCTTCACCGGCCTGACAGAAGCTTCCGACACCGACTTTGGGGCCTGACTCTCCTGACCAAAACAAAACCCTACCAAATACAAAGCAATTATATGATCTATATATGTTATATTGTGTCCATGTGTTTGTCATGTTAAGGGCTTTTTCATCTTCCCGACTTCCATGTCTTCATATTATGATTTTCCATGTGCTGTGTTGCACTCTTGCAGCGTGGCTGCATGGGGCTGTGGATTTCTGATCCTCTTCCAGCTTTGCTCTTCAAATAACAACCGGTGGGGAGTGTTGCACAGCGGTCCCAGCGGTATAATTTCGACTAATCCATTCGTTTGTTTTCCCTGCAAGGTGTGCACTCCGACTTCGTTCCAAGGATCAATGCCTTTCCTGACCTCACACCCCCGAATTCATCTAATCATGAGATCAACTTGCGTGAGAGAGTGAACCCAGTTGAAGAAACATAAGATAATTATATACATGAGTCCAATGTGTTTCTTGGACGTTTCTTGAGCCATGCGCTCCGGAATGGATCTTGCTTGACGTTGAGGAGTGTCAGTCCACTACCTCACATCTCCAAATCCCTCGCGCCTCATCAGCTCATCGGGCCTCCGTGTATCCCAGAAGGCCTCGAAGACCTCTGGAAGCCAGTCCTCGGTCGCAGAGGCAAACAAAGCCTGAAAACTCTGGGATACGTTTCTCACAGGGGATGCTGGCCATGGCTTTGGGAGCGTTTGCTTCGTTATGCATTAAGATCAAAATGCAATGGAAACACATAGAGATTAGAGGTCTCCTCCAAACGAACAAAATGTTTAGTGCAAAACATCCTCTTCCCACCCTTTCTACCCCACTGAGAACCCCACAATCCAGCCGCATCATAGCAGTCGATCTTTTTGAATGGAGGCCAAGGCCTTATGGTCCAAAGGTGGGACATGCAGGACATACATCATGGACACAGCACCTATCCAGCATGATATTGTTGGCTTGATGAATTCCAGCAACTCCTGTCGCTACTGTCCGATCATTTGACCAAAACGGGCGAAAGCGTCACCCACCCCTTGACGGCAATGAAAACATCAGAAGTCTGCACTTGCGTCTCTTGGTAGATCCATTGGTTTTCCAACATTCCACTCAGTCCAGATGGGATCCGGACTCCTTTCGCCACGCGGTGGTGGGGATCCTGCACAGGACTCAAAACGGCCAGAGGTCCAAGTCAAGAACATCAGGAACCAGGGAGAGTTAGGCCATGTTAGGCCAATTGGTCCTCTACAAGTCAGTTCCTTCCTTCAGGAAAAGCTTCCAATCCCGTCTCGCTCCAGCTCTGCATGGCATCTTCTGCTCTGAACAGAGACCCTGGAGTCGCGGTCCATGTCTTTCGCTCACCAGTCGGCCCTGAATGCGGAAGTCACCGGTCACGCCGTCCTTCAAGAGGACCCATCCAAGGCGCGCACCTCGGGGCGTTGCCACAGAAAGAAGCCCCCTTCAACTTTGTTCACCAGAGACGTTGAAGGAGACTTTGCTGAAGAATAGCACCGTTCCATCTCTTTACTTTTGGGGTCATCGTGATTACCACTACTGCCCTGTCGTGGACTCCCCCCCCATTCCCACCAACTCATTGAACCTGACCTTACCTCACCCTTCACCAGGCCATTCTTGTTCCAAATACCCACCTTCAGCAAGCAAACGCTACAGCTCACCACCGCACGTGGTCGCGTCGCGTCCAGGGCAGCTCGGCGGGCGTTCGGCAGCTCGCCCAGCTCCTTCAAGGCCAAGGCCTCGCAACACCTCGGTGCCGTCGTGGCGTCGAGGTCCGGGGACGACTCCGTGGAGGAACCGAGTCAAGAATTGCTTGGAGGTCAAGCCACCCTTCTTTTCACACCGTACTGTACTAAAGAGCCCCTGGAACTAGAACGCAGCCTAGCTTATGGAATATGTTCTGCACAGGTGGGTAATTCCAAAAATGGAACATGGAGCACACCAACCCAGAAACACACCCAACAAGTCACTGGACAACTTGAGTTGTTCATGCAAGAAAGATCTGACCGACTTCAACTTCTAGTCGGTCCAGTTGCAATTCTTCCTGCCGTTGCGTGCAATCTTTTGACCTGTTTTCACAGCAGAGTTAATATGACATGTTATGACCTCGAAGCCCATGGAAAGGGCCTCACCCCAGCTGATCTAAAGGCTTCATGAACACGAGCGTGTTCCCTCGCGGGTCTGGGTAAGTCTTCTTCATTCTCGAGGCGGTTGCGATGTGCGGCAACCGGTGTCCACTCCCCTAGGCCCCTGAGAGGACACCTCAAGTGCCCCTGAGAGCTCCCCACATCGCATCCAGGTGCTCAGGCTGCAGTTCCAGGCTCCGCTGCGCCTGAAAGCGGCACGGGTCCCCGGGGAGGGTCCCGGGTGGCAGGAAGGGAGGGAGAGAGGTGGCCAGGAACAAAGGGTCCATGTTGGCCAGGTCATCCCTTTTCTTTGGACCAGATTGATGCATCCAGCTTTGTCGCAGAAGAAGGGGATAGCACAAGCACAATAATGAAAAGGGTCATTTCTTGAGAGGATCCATCGCGCAAACGTTGGGAGGATCCTTGACATGAACTTGGTGATGACCCCCCAAGATTGAGAGCTTTGGAGCGCCCTGGACCATATTTGTTCAGACAAACCTGGTGTTCCTTCTTCTGTGCACGTGAATATGATGAAAAGAGCAAGTAAACCCAGAAAAGTTCAACAAGGACCTGCCCACAGCATGGCATAATCTCCGGCCTCATGCAAGGCCTTCGACCAATCCTGGCACCTGCAGTGTCAGCATGGTTGTGCCAAAGAAACATGTCCACCATGGATCCCCATAGGCATGGGACATGAATTGCAGGCTGTGGGTCAGTATAGCTACAAAGATATGGGTCAATCAACCATGACCTGAAGATTCGAAAAAGAATACAACTTCCTCACTTATATAATAGTTCTTCAAGCTTCTGCCCACTAAGATAGCTCAACTGCAATACATTCTTCACCAGCACCCCTCCTACTATACAGTATAGTTGGGAGTGAGTTTGAGTGCACAGCCTAGAGTCTATCCCTTGTCTTATCAACTTCACCTTTACTTCTCCAACGTCCTCTCCCCAAAAAAATGCCCACGAGTCAAACAGAATCTTCGGCAGATCCAATCAACCTGGCATGAGGGGTGGAGATGGTGCGAGATGATTGAAATTTCTGGGGGTCTTCAAGCCTCTCTCACCCTCGGTTCGCAGCTTTTCGGCTTTTGGGCTTGCAAGTTCTGGGTGAGACATGGGCCCCTTTCAGGCCCGGGTGGCTCCCTCCAGGGGTCTGGGGTAAATGACAAGGCTGGTTCTGTTTCGAACACAAAGGATTCGCGTAGAAATTCATGATGTCCTGGCCCCCTCCCTGTTCAGTCTCAGGCCCCTACTTTTGAGACCTCCTACCACGCTCATGCAACTCCCTGCGCAACTCACTTGGAATCGTGGCTCTTCAGGAAGGACTCAAGGTGCTGCTGTTGATGCCTTAAATCATCCGAGACACAAAGGCAAATGGACGAAAACTTCGAACAGCAAGCACCAGACCCAAACAAAACAGCCCCCACAAACCGTACCAAACCCGCCCCAAACCACCTCCTATTACCTCCTAGCATTTTTGCCGCAACAAATAAGAACAAAACTCCATCCATCATCCTCAAAACAACCGTTCCTTGCGCTGGGCGGCTTGAGGAAGTCGATCTCCTCCTTCCGCTTCCGCTCATCCACCGCGCGGCGTTCCGCCTCGCGCCGTTCGATGGCCTCGCACTTGTTCTTCAATTCCACCACCCGAGCCTCAGACACCAGCAGCGGAGCGCCCCACACGGGTGGGTCGCACACGTGGGCGAGCAGCTGGTGAGCGACCAAACGGACACAAGAACATCAAGAACCCATGGTGATCCATGGTGGGTGGAGTTGGAGAAGTCTGGATCAAGCGAAGCCGAAGGGCTGAAGCAACTAGGCCGTGCCCACAGGTTCATGCATGAAAGAGCACTAGAATAGCCACTAGAAGGGTGCAGTCTTGCTCTTTTTTGTCCCCGTGCCGCAGCAACATGGTCACCCTTGGACTCCTTGCATTGAACCCTTGGTTTGAAACCTCCAACGAGTCACCCACCTCCAAAAAGAAACATGGTTCTCCTTTGCCGATGGTGATACATCAGCTCCCCCTGACTCCCAGATCCGACTCCAACGGACTCCACCAGTACATTGTCCGATGTACATTCGCTCCCCCCGCGCCTCGCGCTGCTTCTTCTGCTCTTCGTGCTCGGCAATCATCTGCTCGGTCTCGGCCTTGCCCTGCTCGGACTGCAGCTGCTTGCGGGTGCCAAAGGTGACACCTCGTTTTGAGCGAAATCTTCTAACGGGTGGGGAGGGTTCATCTACATGTCAACGTGTTCAACTGCGCAACGGACCAATTCAGTTCATGAATTTCTTGTGGATGGAACAAGCCTACAAGAAACAGAAGAATATCATGAAAGGCTATGCTTAATAGCATTGATGAGCCTATGATGGTTGACCATTGTCCAAGCACAAGGACTGCTCCTCTGTTCCGCTTAGGCCACGACTGCTTTGATAGAGCGTCTGATAGGCCGCAATGGACATGCGGATCTCATCCCTCACCCGCAGCAGCAACAAGCCGCGCTCAGGGCAGTTGATGGTGACCTCGCGGTGGCGGTGGCGGTGGCGGTTTGGTCATGTGGTGCGGTGCTCCAAAGTTCACTGGGGCTGATGAGGCAAGTCCTTCCTGTGGGATTCATCCGTCTTCTGCTCATTCACGCTGCCAAGACCGCGCTTCGGCTCCCAAAACAGTTCGGAAGAAGTCAACAGTCTATCAATCAATCAATCAATCAATCAATCAATCAATCAGTCATCAATCAATCAATCAGTCAATCAGCCAGTCAGTCAGTCAGTCAGTCAATCCATCTACCCCGCCTGGCGGATGAGCTCATCGAAACACTGGGAGTACAACTCTTCGCGCACGGGGCAGATCCCCGTCTCACGGGCCTTCCGTGGGGGAGGTCTCGAGCATCAACGACACGCAACATCTCACAACATCTCGTAGCTTCTAGCTACTAGTGGCGATGCCCTTGTTACTAGTAGCTTCTTGTTCCTAGTAGTACACAATGCCAGGAGAAACTAGTAGCTTCTAGCTACTAGTCTCATCAGGTCAAATCGATTCACAAGGTCTGACCTACCAGGCGACTGCCTAACCCTTCACCTCGGGGTCCCGTCTCTTGCGGACGTGTGCCTGTCGCTCCATCAGGCGTTGATCCAAGGCCTATGATCGGCACGATTCCAAGGGGCACGAGGGGACATGCCCTTGAAGTCTAGCTAGCATGGACTCATGCACCCTGACAATTGCCTGAAGCAATCGTTTCGTGAGATGGTTCAGTGGTCCGTCTGGCATACGGCAAATGCTGGAAAGGGTGGATGACATGAAGTAGAGAAGAGACTGTAGAAATACGTAGAAATCCAGTACTCACTCAAGGATTGCATGAACCGGACCACCCCAAGAAGCTTTTGAAAAAATAAGAAAAACAAACAATCCAGTAAGCAAGAGGTATTTATACGGTATAAACTCTATATATAAATGCTGATCCTTGGTCGAGCACCCATCGACTTGGTGGAGATCGGCCTCCTGCAGCTGGATCACATCCAGTCGGGTGGCCGCTTGGTTGCTGACCTCGGTGCCAAGCTTCGCTTTGAGGTGCCAAGCATCGCGCAGGATGAGGACGAGGAGGATGGTGGGAAAACAAAACCAATTGGGTGACCATGGTGACGATGATGTTTGTGTGTGTGTTTTCCCTATTTCTGGGTGAAAATGACCCCATGAGCTCTCCATCTTCCCTACTCAAACAGGTTCTTTCGGGTATCCCTTTTCTGGCACAATCCCTAAATTTATATACGTGGATCATGCCAATCTTGCCATCAGCGACAGAAGTGTGGTAACGGGTTTTCATGCACCCAAGAAACTTTAGGAAGATCTCCCACTCACTGTAAATATATATACTTATGGATGGAAACAACGTCAAACACCGTGCTCGCCTTGGCCTAGAAACAACTCAAAAAATAGCAGCCGGATTGTTTGGTTCCATTCGCTTGCTGTCGTCATAGTCAAAGATATGAGTTAGTAATGAATCAAATCTCTGGTTCAAGGAAGCTGAATGGTCATGGTCAGCCCCCCTTTCCCTTTTCACCTTCTATATGGCTATATAATTATATACCATTGAACGAGCCCGCGGGGGAGGTGGGCCGACCTAAACCATGCAATTCAGTCCAATCCACTTTTAGGCCGGAAGTCAGACGAGCTCACCCCCAACCACTTTTAAGGCAGATGGACCCCCTTTGGACTGGCGGGCTGTGTTTCTTGAAGACGAGACGATGTCCAGTTCTGCCATTCTGGTTCTGGACCACAACACTTCGCAACCAAACCGCTGATCTGATCGAATCATCCCTATGACTGTGACTTCTTCATCCGCCAAAAAAAAGATAAGTAATACATACGCTGATCCCTTCACCGATCCGATCAACAAAGCAACCATCGGGCACCCACAAAATCCCCATCATGGAGGTCCTAGAGAGCTCGATTGGGTACCATTACACCTATTGTATTTTCTTGTACTCTGTACACGACCGTTTCTTTTCTTAAGTGAACCAACCCCCCGCTGTGGGATCCGCCACGGAGAAGAACCATCGCCACCATGCGGTTTTGGCGGCATATTGCTGGTAGTGCTTCGCCTCTTCGATCCACTCGCCTCGTCGAAGCGTGGCTGGAATGGAATGGAATGGAGAGAAGGGGAGCCTCTCGTTGTTTTAGATCCACAATAGAAACATAAAGAAGCCTTGAGAGCAGTGTGGATCCAGAAATCCCGTTCCTCCTGCTTCACCGCTACCGATCAAAGAAAACACAGTTCCCATACTGCCGAGTTGCTGGTTTCACCGATCCGTTCATGCCCGCAGTGAGGGACCATGTCTTTTCCCATAAGAGTTTGAGGGATCGCAACAAGATGGCATGGCACCTGTAAGAGTGTTGGCCAACACGTTGGCCCTGGGCTATGGAGGAGAAGGAAAGGTTGAACAATCTCACCCAAGCCAAACCAATCCCTCATCACAGCAACGTGGAGGCGTATTGGACAAATAGGCCAGGTAGCCCTTAGGGCCTATTGGGGGATCAAACTGACAAGTGAAAGCTAGCCCCTATGGCATTCGAACCATGCAAGCACATGCATCTCTCTCATCCAAGGAACGGGGTGGCAGCAGCGCATGCAAAACGTCGTCGGTGTTGGGTTTTGATTCGGCTGGCGGCTGCTGCGTCTTGCGAGACAGCTGAGCCTGCAATGGTCTTCAAGATACAATTGTCGTCTGTCTGCCAAAGTTGATACGAGTAGCAGCTGTAGCAGGATCTAGGGAGCTAAAGAAAGGGGGTCCGGATCGGCAACTCACTTGGCCACCGAAAACAGTGTCAAGTTCTTGGATACAAGCAAGACGGGGAAGAAGTTGCGACCCTTTGCAGAAACATTCCGATGTATGCCAGTATGCTTTATGATCTTTACATATCTTTACTCTATTCCCAGCAAAAACCTACAAAAAATCGGGTGAAACCATAGCTTTGCGGCGACCCGATGTTCGTTCGTCCTTTTCGTCGAGTGAGGAGTCCCATCGACTCCGGGTGGGGAGTCCCCGGCCTTCAGCGAGTTGGGCTTCAGCGGCTTGGCACCCTTGCGGCCCAGGGAGTCGGTGGGCGCCGGACCCAGCTCCAAGGGCGGGTCATATTTCACCTGGAGCAAGAGGCGAGGTGATGGGAAGAAGAGAGGGAAGAGAGGGAAGACGGTTTCGATGGGATGAAGACGGAAGATGGAGGTGGGGGGGTGGTTCTTGTTCATAGAGCTGATTGGATGAAGGTGTTTCACCTGGAGAAGCGTTTTCGCTCCAGAAGCTTTAAACTAAAGCGTCCAACAGCGAACAGACCGGGGATTGGACATGAGAGGAGGGGGGGTCCAAGGATCGGTGAGGGCTCAGCATGCTCCGCACAGCTTTTGATGTTTGCATAGTCATAGTCATAGAGTATAATCACAGTACACTCCCTAGAACTATCATGGAAGTGGAGAATGGCGCCTTGGAAGACCATTTTCCTCTAAAACACGGGGGTTGTCCACTTCCATGTTAGTTGCAGGGAGAGTATATTACAGTACAGTGATTCACTGCTGTGCTGGCTGTGCTGTAAAGCTCCCCGGTCAAACGTCTGGTGAAAATGCGGTCCAAAAGAACAGGCTCGTGGAGCCATTGAAAACGTCGACGGCATACTGTTTGTGGTGGCTTTTTATCGACCCAATGCGCCGACAGCAAGCGTATGCGTCACACCATGATTCAGAATTCCTCGGATTTGCTCGGGCCATCAATCTTTGGCACTTCGTTCGGGGCGATGTGAACGGTGAAAAGGTCTCTGCTGGCGACTCTGTGAAAAAACCTGACACAATCCTCGTCCCACGGTGAATCCCTGGTGGTAAGACAAGCATAGGTATGAAGTGAAAGGCCAACCGTGGCCAGTCCCCGACGCTTCTGGAACCCGTGAAAGGCCATCCTTCTTGCGGCACTCCTAGGGCTCTGGGCCGTTCAGCCCATCGCCTCGGCACCCCAATTCCGTTCAACCCCCCCCTGGGCTGCCACACCAAGGAATCTCGAGGCCGGCCAATTGGAATGGACATGGCGGCCTTATCGTGCACACTCACGCGCTCTTCTCGCGCGTGAAAACACAACCTCTGAGCCAAAGGCCACGGCAGGTGGGACGCGGCCACTTTGCACAAACCCTACTGAACCATGGGCAGCTCCCATTTGAGAAGGCAAGAGCCTGAGCATTGCCATTCCCGTTTGACATGACCCAACCTAGCTTGTTCTGGTATGAAAGTGAAGTAGGACTTGAAGTAGGAGGCCCGGCCCTAAACCACCCAAAGAAGGCTTCACCTTCCCCACACCTCGACTGGCAAAACGATCCGGACTCCCACCTCAAATGGACACGCGCTCGCCCAAAGAAGGCTTGGGCGGCCAGTCTCCTTTGTTCCTCCTAGAGTGAACCGGAGGGGCTGAACTCGAAAGAAGGACCAACGAAACTACAAATGAATGCGGCTGTCTGGGACCACGAAGGATCAACAAAAATCTCAGGGACCCTGTGTTGGATGAGACATCCCCTGACTCATGACACGAAAACGTCCGGCATGAGTTCTGAACAGCGAGTCTTCATCGTCCCCCTTACGAAGGGGGCCGGCATCGCTCGTTTGGGAAGCAATCTTAAGCGTCCTTTTCTGAGAAGAATCTATCTTCTGATCCATCTGCTGGAGGGTCCAACCTTCTGGGGTCGGCGCCAGGTCCTGTGGGGATCTAGCTTGGGTCCTGAGTCCTAAGGTATAGGAAAATGAAAAGGTGTTGTGAGTCTTGTGGAATGTCCCCTCACTTTGAGACGTTTCACACCCCCCAAAGCGGAGAGGCCTCTTCCTCTTCTTCCTCCAAGACCTCGCCCAAAACAAACGCTGGCTAGCTGCGGGACCCTGGTCAAGTTGAGCAACTTGAATTTCCTATGGTCCGTCAGGTCCGAAGGTTGAACTCTCAAAACAAACCAATACCAGCCAGCACCTTCAAAGTGACCTCTTTGGAGTCTCTCTTTTTGACCTCTTCAGGGAGTCATGACCTCATGCTGGGGTCTCAAGTTCGGTCACTGAAGGTCCAAGGCCTTACAGTAGACCTTGATGTCGTGTGCATCCCCACCTTCAGCACTGCATCAAAGCCCGCCAGAGCTTCTTTGGCATCGCCCATCATGCTCTCCTGGCGCTTCATGTGTGTCTCAGGTTGTTTTCCACGGGTCACTCCGCCCAGGTGGGTGTTGAGATTATCAACCTTTTGTGTCGGACAGGAGGTGATTTCCCTCGCCAACCACTCCAAACAACTCTGCATCTGTGGACTTCAAACCGGTTTCCCGTACACACGGGTTCCCCGGAGCGACTGTACACGCGGTTCCTGGGAGCGTCTGGGAGCGTGTGTGTGTGTGCGTGTGTGTGTGTGTGTGTGTGTGTGTGTGTGTGTTTGTGCGCGCATGCGAATTCTTTGTCTGCATTGGATCTCTGTTGACACATGAACAGTTTCGACCGGTGCACAATGCTCAAAAGGAGATCAGCATGCAAAAGGCCTGCTGCGTCCTCCGTCGAAGAGTTTCCAGTTAGGGTAGAGCGCGTTCACAACGCAGAACACATCCCCCCCATAACGTCTCTTTTTGGAGTTTGTTTGGATGCAGAATGCATCCCCACCCCATATCCCCCTATGTGTGCACAAATGATCCTGATGATCCCCTGCCCCTTCAAACTTCAAACCCACCAAGTTGCGCAGCACACCGGTCCCACGACCACGCACTCACCATGAAGGCCGACTTTGGACCCTCGCGGAACCTCCCCAAGGGCTCCGAGAAACGCTCCGAAAAGAACACCCTAAACCCTCTGCAGAGTCGGTGCCCCGACTCCAGAGTCGAACACCCCCGCCACCAAGCACCAAGCACCGAAACCGAGGTATGGGACCATTCAACCCCGAAGAACAACGGCCCCCACCCCCTTTGCAGCGGGGCCTCAGCCTTCCTCAATAAGTCAGATGGAGTGACCATGTGTTGGCCCTGCCAGGATCGGCATGGACCGGCTCCCATGTCTATGGGAATGGTATCACATACTTATATGCTTATGGGAGAACGTCGGAGGGTGCGAACGCTTTGCAATCTCCTTGTCGAAGTCTCTTTTCAATGACAAAGTTGCCAAAGGTAGTGAACGGCGCTACTATTGTATCAAATGAGAAATCAAACAGAATAGGAATCAGCCCTCACCTATCCCAACCCAAGTCTTCTGGAGCACCAAGCACACCACGCCAAAATCAACTGAAACAATAGACAACGCACTCCTGGCCTCGGTGCTCACTGGGGCAGCTCGACCCTCAGCATGCCGAAGGCGCTGTGGACAGTGACACACGTCGCAAAACACGAAGCCGAAGTCGTCCTCTTGACCTTCTCAATTCTCAAGGGGAGGGTCTTTCTTGCCAAACATGTCCACCATTTGTCTCTGACCCCTTGTGACCCCAGGTATCACCTCCGGCCCTGCTCCGTTCGGCACGCGCCTTTTCTTTCGCCCGGCCGGCCGTCCGTCCGAACGGACGGGGCGGGTGGGACGTCACGCGGACGCCCCCGCAGCGGGACTCGCCAGGCGGCAGCACGGACTCGCCCGACTCGTGCGCAGGTCTTCACTGAGACGGTGGTCTTGGCAGGTCGAGGAGGTCAAAAGCACCTGCACCGGTGACAGGTTGGACTCCAAGACCGTTTTGGGATGAAGTGCACACCTCCGTCGCTTGAAAGAGTTGTGCGAAATGGGGCAGCGGATCGACATGATCAACTGATCTGATATGGGACATCCAACCCTGCCAGTGAAACCAACAGTCCGGTATTCATGGAGCCCACAGTGAGGGCTTGAATTTCCAGTGGTTCAACTGCTTCTTCATTGCCGGACTGCCCCTCGACCCCTCGACCCTCCAGCCTATGCTGGGTATCCATCACCTTTGGCCTCGGACACAGGCAGCTGGGGGGGTCCGCATCAGCATAAAACCGAACCAAAACGATGCTTGTTTGGACTCGAGACTCGTCAATTGGATCGCAAGGCACTCGACATGTTCGCCAACAGATGAAGCCTGAACTTCTGACCATGATGATGCCGGTCTGCCAAGATTTGGCTGAACATCGCAAGCTTGCTGACCATCCGGCTTTCTGGCGAACCGTCTTCGCCTTTTCCGCCAAGGGGCCTTTGGTTTTCCCTCCTTGCAGCAAATCGCCAGTTCAGTGCGGGATGAAATCCCCTACACATTTCGATGTTCGAACAGGAACAGGGAGGTACATCCACAAGCAGCCTCCAACAGATCAGCATCTGCAACTCATAAGTGCACAAGCCTCCGGAGGAGATGGCTTGCCTTGTTCCCAAAACCTTTTAGAATAAGCAGGGCGGTCAGAAATCAAAACGATCAGTGTAGAGACAAGTATGGGGCCCTTGCCCCCAGCACAACCTTTGTCAACAACAAGTTGGTGACTAAGGTGTTTCTGACTGGACTCATATGTCTGCCATGGTATTGCCAATCTTCACAGACCCCTTCAGGTCCTCATCCACGGTCGTGGCAATACTCAGCTCCTTCAGCCTGGGCATCGCAGGTGCATCTCGGCCTCCCCAGTGCCAATCCCACACCAACCTTGTTGGGCCCGGGCTGTGCGGCAGTGATGGCCGACGGAGTGTTGATCATGGTGTCACGGCCTCGGCAGGAACAGAGCGGCCGAGGACCTGGTTCTCGAAACCTGTACCTGTGCAATTTTAAGGATTGGACAAATTCATGGATCTCTGAACTTCATTTGTGGGAGCGATTTTGCCGGACTCGCTGTTGAGAAGATCTGCCAAGCTGGTGGAGTCAGAGCCTTGAAAACACCTTCCCCTCACTCGTCCAAATTCGCAGAAGCATCCAATCCATAACATCAAACCAGCTGAATCATGTTATACAAGATTTTTCTGGTGAACGGAACAGCTGTTGTTTGTTGGTGGTTCACCTTCTTTCACTCCAGTGTCAATCCAGTGTAAGGTTCATTTTCAGGCGGAACTGTCCTCCCCATCAACCACCTACTGTACTGGTCCGTCATCGCCGCTCTTCGCTTTGCGTTCGCCCCATTCGCCGCGTTCCGTCACCCCGGGCCCATGTTGTTCTTCGGGAAAGCGATGAAGTCGCGGATCGTGCTCTGCGGAACCGGTGGACTTCTGTGGGTGAACGCCGATCACCCACCGCGGAGGTGGAGGTTTGTACGGGTCAACCCGGTTTGGAAGGGCGGACTTCGATGCTTGAAGGTTGAGGCGTATGTTTGTTGTCTTTTTGTGGTCGGACTTGCTTTGCTGATTACACACACCACTCAAAGTTTAGTGTTCATCTGCCAATGTCCAAACTAGCTGCTTGGAGAAGTCATACATTGCAAACACAGCCAGGCTGCATAGATTTGACTAATTTTGGAAAAAACATCATCGGAACCTCCCTTCAACAGCCCCTAGCGTCTTCGTTCGAAAAAACGTTCAAAAATTATCTTTGGAGCAGGTTTCACAACTGGACGACAGCCCACAACTGGTTTTTCAAAGATCTGTCCAAAAACATGTTCCAACTCCGTTCTGCACTGGTGCAATTGGATGAAAGAGTGGTCCACATGTGAGGGTCACCTTGCGCGAGCCCGCGGGGCCGACACTTCGTGCGGGCTCGCGGGCTGGCTGCGGGCTCGGCGCGGTCTCGGTGCGGGCCCGCGGGCTCGGGCTTGGCGGGGGCTCGCACGAGCTCGCGGGCTTGGCGCGGGCCCGCGGCCTCTAAGAATTGCACGCGGGCTCGTGCTGGGTTACTTTTATATATATCATTTCAGGGGGCACCTTTCAACCAAATTGAGAACCACAAGCAAGCCAGTGTGGCCCGAGTTGAGTTCATATGGCATATGTATGTGTCCCAGCGTCAGTGCACACATGTACATTTACAAGTGCTTCGACACAAGCGCACATGTGTATCTAGACACATGTACCTACACAAGCGCACATTCAGACACATGCGCTTTAAGAATTTGCAATAGTAGAAGCATTTGCACAAGTGCACACACACACTTATGTAGTACAACTGGTTCTGATACTCTCCCGTTAAAACTCTCGCGTTAATGCACTTGTCTTGCTACTCTCGCATTCAGACTCTTATGTTCAGACGGTTGTCTCTTTACGTTGATGCTTCTACTCTTATGTTGGCGCCCGTATCTCAGCACCCTCGCGTTGAGACTTTTCACTGTCAACTATCCTTCTGGGTTCATACTCTTATGCGCAAATACTCTCGCGTTCGAAGTCTTTTATGTTAATTACTCGCGTGGTGATGTTCTCATGTTGATACACCGGTCTATGTCTAGCGCCAAGAGACCGTGTGTAAAGAGGCATCTCATGTTTTCTGAAGAAAAGTTTCACGTTAAGCGCAAACGTGAAAGCAAGAAAGACAGCCGCCCACGGGCTTTCTCAGGCTTTCTGCAGGTATTGGCCCGCCGGCCTTCCCAGGCGCCGGGGCCTCCTGGAAAACAAGTCAGAGACGACAAGATAAAGGGCAAACGGGTGACACACGCATGGCTACTATGTGGAAACTCACCTTCAAACAGACTATTCAACGAAACCCTCAAGAAACCTCCTTGTTTGCTTCTTCACCTGCTGCATCGAGGGGCAATTGGTTGACTGCAGGCTGTGTTGCCAAGGGGTAGGCAACGAACGCTTTGCGCAAAGCGATCATCACCTCATCCCCATCACAATCACTGTTGGCAAGGATGGCTATGCTACGGCCTCGTGAAGAGGTCAAAGGTTGTGAGGAACCATCGTTTTTTAAGATTCAAATTAATAAGCCAATATTGTGAACCCCTCCGCCCGCCTTTGGCGCTGACAACAATGACACCATTGGGGATGGCCCAGGGGTGCTTCGGCCACTCGACCGCCTGCCACGCGGCAATATCCGAAGGCTGCACCACTGGGCTGCGCCACACAGCCACTTGCCCCTTGATGTTTTTGCCGCGGGTGATGACGCAGCATTTTGCCCCTCCTAGAAGTAGAATCAGAAGACAAAGCCGCTTTTCCAAACACATCCGTTTTTGGTTGGGCCTTCACCTTCCAAAGCAAAACTGGAGCTTTAAAGACGAGCCAGTCCTTCAAGAATTTCCACTTGTCGGCCGTGGCTTTCAAAGTCCAGGCGCCGCCACCGCAAGTGAAATGGGGGTCCCAATGCGTTCCCCAAAAAACCTCCACCACCTCCGAGCCGGGCCATTGATGAATGTTGACCAGCAAAACATTAAACAAAATAAAAGACACTAGTCCATACATATATACATATACGCACCTATACATCTGCGCAAATAAAATACTATATTCCTAGGCACACACACGTATATTTATGTATAAATATACACGTGCACTACGTATTCAAATTTTACATACAGGTAGATTCATTACGTATACGTTTTTACATTTAGACTACTCGCGGGGATCACGGAAGTGATCAAGGGTCATAATTTCAGAGTTAGGGACCAATCACCATGGTATGACGTGAACGTCTTGTTTCCTCTGCTTCTTGGCTAACCTCAGGCTGCAAAAGGCCTAGAGGAGCTGAAGATAAGGCTTGACCAACACGCATGTCCATGTTCATACTTTATGTTCCGGCTCTTGTATTGATACTCTCGCGCGCAAAACCTTTTCTGTTACAGACTCCTGGCGATGTTCTCGTGTTAGTACACCGGTGTATGTCTAGCGTTAACCTTGCGTAGTGCTTGAGCCTGCCTTGAAGAAACCCTTTACGAATGCTCTCGGGGATAGCGCGGTTGCTCTCAAGCCGTGCCCCCCCTAGTTCGCGGTGCTGACGTGCAAAACATACTGCGACATATCAAAAACGATCTAGAAACATGTCAAGAAGATTAAAAAATACAAAATACATGTATACATATGTTTAGATACATACAAACAAACAAACAAACAAACAAACAAACATACATACATACATACATATATATATATATATATCCCGACGGGTCTACTTAGGAGTGTGAGACGCTTGTGAAAAACGCCACGGTGTTTAAACGTTTTTGGTGTTTTTTGGGAAGCCAAAAAGCGTTCATTGACCTGAACCAGGGATCTCTACATAACAAAGTGGTTTTTTCGATGTACACTGGGGAAGCAAAACGAACCGGGGAACCGAACGTTAACATCCCAACCCATCCCACCCCACCGCACTATCAGTTAGTCGCAAACTGTAGCGTACCGTAGAAGAGTTTCTAGTCAATGGGTGCGCTAAAAGGACTGAACGTTAACATCCGACGCCACCTGACCAAAACCCTCGGAATAGTGGAACAAATCTGAAGTCATAATTA